GNTTTGATATCCATCCAATTGCCATCTCGTCTGTTACTGCTAACCGGGCTTGATGAATTAACCAGGGTCGGCCCTCGGGTGCCACAGCTTGAGCTTCATGACGTCACAGCCAGGCTTTGATACTGTGGAAAGCCTGTTCAATTGGGTTGTAGTCAGGGGAGTATGGTGGTAGATAGATGAGTTTTGCGCCTGTAACTTTAAATCAGGCATAGAAGGCAAATAAACGAATTGAGCAACAAACCACATTCAACTTCAATAAGGTGCCGTATATCCTCGTCATGGTGAATCGCACAGTTGTCCATGATAACCACACTGTGGGGACCAGGGTATGGATTCAACTTTGGAGCCTACAACATAGATCAGTTACAAAGCTGGTGACATTTTAACGAAGAGATATATCTTACAACTTGTTCATTTAGAAAGGTAAGGAAGCGCTCTTTATTCACCGAACCCTCGAAGACTCGGATATCAAGCGCAATGATACCCTCACATGTAAGAGCTGGCAAGACCGAATACCGCTGACCGCGGACAAAAGCAGCACGGCAAACACATGCTCTACCCATCGCAGCCCAACCCTGGCTACGCTGGTTGGTCCGATCATCCACACTTGCTTCGTCCAACCAAACACAATAATCAGCTGGAATATCCGCATATGCGGCCTGCCAAGTTGCGCGTAACAATTCATTCCTTTCTAATGCTTCATTTGCTACATGCTTGCGCATCATTGAAAGTCGGTGGAGTGTGCGGGAGAGAGTTGAAATAGAAGCAAAAACATCTCGCCTATCCAGAAGTTCATCTTGAATTTCATCTAGGTAAATCTTTGGCCGCGCGTCAATCAAAGACTCTATAAAGTTCATATCTCCCATGTTTAAAGAACGGCTGGCGCCATGCGGCCCGCGTGTCGACGGTTCTCTGAGAGTGTGGTAGTCATGGTGGTAAGAGAGGATGTTGTAGATTGTCCGGACACTACATCCAACAAGGCCTGAGATTTCCTGCGCCGAGAGATGTTGCTCATCGTGCCAAACGATGATCCGCGCACGCATCTCGTTCAATACTTGAGGCACCATGAGAGTTGGCCGTGAGGGGTTCAAAATCCCCAATGTGCTCAAATCTGGGATTGAATGTGTGATGATCTACAGGGTCTGTAACGGACACACAAAGCCAAACATGGTTTTCACGATCTCTGAGTGCAAACGGCAGTGCAAAACACTGTAATCAACGCAGATTGATGAGACGATTCCAACAATACCAATTTCATCAAATTTTATCGAGCTGTTCCCTCATAAACTTCCAAATAAGGTTTTTAGGCCCTCAAAATTTGGCAGGACCATGAGAATTGGCCTAAAAATCACGAAAAATAGTGCAATCGACTGCTTTTGATGAGAGGCAAATGATCCTGTAATATTGGAAGGTTCTGTCGAGCCGTTTTGGCTAAATAAATTCGAAAAGAATGACCTAAAATAGAAATTGATCGGTAATCAGGGCCCGCTCGGTGCCTTCCGGAGACCCTTAAGTCTCAGTTGAAGAGTGTTTACCGGAATTACAGTGGCCAAGGGCGCCGCTGCTGACACACAAATCATTTTCAGAAATTCAACTCCATTGTGAGCCACTTTGAGGTAAATTTGGTCACCTAGGACCCTGAATTGGGGCTACATATTTCGAAAATTTTGACCAAAAATTTGGCGGAACACATCCGCTCGTGGGAAAAACTTCAAAGGTGTGTTTTTCGACGTATTTCGACGAGCTGATCAAGATTCTGAAAAAATATTGCCGAAATATTGGCTGGGGGCCGAGATATCAAATTTGTTGTCTTTGCTTGTCCGCGACTGTACTCAAAGAGAAGATCCATTTTTGAACTTTATCTTTCACTTTTCCCACTGCAAGTGAACGCAGTCAGGTACCGAGAACTGGTTCACCAGGAACAAAGTCACGCATGTTTTCAATCAAGCTAAGAATCGTGGATATTCATCGCTTATCTCCTTTGAAGAAGTGCCTGGAGATCCCATCCCCCTCGTCACCCAACCCACCCAAAAACGGCGCATCTTCTCAAGTTCCTCAACCTACACTGCTTTCTAAATTACACCCCACTTCTCATGCAACAGCCCATGTTTTCCCCAACCTTATTTACATTGGCGTACTGACATTGACATGCGACGTCGTGTCGTGTCAAGTGTACCCATAGCTATCACCACCACCCATGATCCATCCGTCAGCCTCCTCGGGTTCCCTAGGCCTTTACATTCCTCCTCTAGGCTCTTGTGACTACTCTCCGCCGACTTTCACCACCCCCTGATCGCTCTCTATATACGTCACCATGATCTAATCTAAGCAGTGACTCACAGGGGCAGGCAACCGCGTCATCTGTGCAGTGCAGGCCAAGCAGCCTCAAGAAAATCGGCAAGTAAACAACCTGGCACTTTTGGGAAATTGCAAACCTTATCCGGAGCATTCAAAGTCGATAAGAGTCGGTACCCCCCATTTAAAAAAAAAATTAAACCTCACTTCATCTCGAGCATCGAGCTAGCCATTAAAAAAAAAAGCCTGTGTTATCTATCCACCAACCATGCAGTGCTCTGCCAACACGTGCAAAGCACTTGCCCCGCCACACTTATCTTGCCAAGCAGCTTGCACAGAGTTCAAGAAAATCGGCAAGTAAATAACCTGAACCCAAGGCCAAGCGCTCATCTGGCCAAGTTCGGAAATGGCAATCTTATCTGGAGCAAAGTCGACGTCTCCTTATATCCTCATAACTCTTTTTTTTCAATTCAATTGAACCTCATTTCATCTCAAGCATAGCCTGCCCAAAGAAACAAAAAAAGATAGTGGTGGCCGTGTTATCTATCCACCAACCATGCAGCGCACGTGTCTACAAAACCTGACCACACTACACCAGCGTCTGCCCACACGTGCAGAAAGCATGGCACTGGTGTCTGGTGTTTATCTACCCAAGGCTAGCCAAGGCCCAAGGACGAAGCAAGGCACCCCGCCCAAGCTCAAGGCACGTCGACACGTCAACCGGCGTGACAGTCAACACTCAAGCTTGTCATTCAATATTCAACTGCCATTGCCGGCTCACCTGTTCTCAGTCTCCAAGCAGGCTGTTCGACTCGAATCGTAAGGCTCAGGTACACTCCCGTCGGGACATGGTCATGTGAAGGTTCAAGGTGACAGCCGTTCAACTGTCAGTTGTTCGATGATATGATTATATTGGCGTCTGACAGGGTGGTGACCGTTGCGTTTTGGACGCTATAGAGTCTCGTGGTTTTATGGCTCGGAATGCGCTGACTTGAATTAGTATTGTGAAAGACTTCACGAAACAGTACAACTATGCAAGTCAACAATACCACAAGTCAAAACTCATATCTGAATCCTACATCTGCAGGTCCTCGCTGTGCGTGCTGCTCAAAGATCCTCCCGGGATGACCAGCACGCACATCCTTATGACGACATGCGAACCACTGGCACTGGCGTCGGATTTTTTTTTTCGTGTTGAAAATAATTTCAATCCTACACGGTGTCCGGCAACTACGTAGGTATATTTTTATCTCCGTTGTCGGACAGAGCCCAGTGGGTAAGTTCTTTTGTCTCTTCACGGTCTAACCTTTTTATTCAGATGCCCATTGTAAATCAAGTGAATTGGCTCTCTGGCAGGCTCTGCCTTTAAAACAAAGTTTTATCGCTACTGCAACACTCTCACCACAGCCCAACTACATCATCCCACTCCAATGATCCCACTCACCCCGGCCACTGGCAAGTTCCAACACAAAATCCACAACCTGAGGCTGTTCAATCACACTGTTATGTACTATCTAATAATAACAACTGACTGCGAGTTGATAGGAATGACGTCGTTGCAGTGGGAAACACACCAATGTTCTATAGTTCATAGCCATTGCAGCAGGACCCTTAGTTTTTACTCATACTTCAACACATCAACGCACAACGGGCTACAAAAACAAACCTAGATGGCCCATGGGTTAAGACTCTAGGGACCCGTCGGCCCCTTTGACCAGAGGGGTAGGGGTGGTTTTTACTTTCCTAGACAACTGATTTCGCTGATTGTGGAATTTTTATGCATGCACGTGTGAGACACGTCCATAATTACAAGCCTTGAGTATCTCTTATCCTCAGTGGTCATCCCCAATTGCAGAACCAATTACAAGTCCCCATCTATAAATAAAATACCGAACCTGACCTGGGTCGATCGTTTGTATGACGTTGCTACCATCGTGAATTTGCTTCTGTTTCAAGATATTTCAAGGGGTTGTTCTCAATTTTACTTTTCTACAATGAGAAGAGACTCTGGGTGTCTGTAGATTCAAATTCATATGATAGTAGCTTGCAATTACAGTCCCATTTTTCAGGAAACAGGAAGTGAAACTGTATTGGCCTTTGAAGCGGGCTCCAGTACTTCGCACCAAGTCACATCCCAGCCTGTTACGACAAGCTACCCATCACTTCACAAAAAAAATGTTTCTCATTTGGTTCCCATCTATACAAATACATTGCTCTCTGTAACTGGTTCGTACATAAGTCTGGCCCATTTGACCACCGACTCTCAAACCAGGCCAGGGTGGCAGGAAAGCACCATTCGTTTTTCCATTCGCCAGCAGCCATTTCCACAGCCAGTGCAACACATTCATCATCACAAAAAATTCTTCATCAGATGTGCAAATGACTTGAGCAACACAGTAAGAGTTATGTACAATCCTCATGGCGACAAACATCCATAATTAGCCAAGGAGGAGATATTTGCAATTACCTAAGAGCGAAACCAAGAGATGCCAGAACATACAGCGCCAAAGACGAAAAAACCAGTCGGATTAGGAAAACAGAGTCCCAGGTAGTGTTTGAAAGTCCGGTTCGGTCCGGTTTTTTGATGCCCAGGGGCGTTAACCGTAACCGTAACCGGTCTGCCTTTTCCCCAGAAGTCAAAAGACCAGACAGGACCGCAAAAATACCGCAGACCGCGGTTTTTTGTGGTCTATAGACCGGTTTCGGTCTGCATCGGTTTTAACCGGTTTATGACCGGTCTTTAGGCCAATATTTTAAAATTATGAATCGGTAAATTTATTGACATCTCTAATAGCTTCAAAACGAGCCCAAGAACGTTAAATTCCATTGGGAATTGGTGCTTCTATAAAATAAGTCTGGTACATTTATTATTCCCAAAAGTAATTTACATTTTAATTCATATCTCTCTTGTTTCTTTACCAAATCGTACGTTCTTGGGTGCGTTTTAAAGGGTATTTAAGGGGCTACAAAAGACCGGTTCACGTTAACCGGTTTTTTTGCGGTCTTTACATTTCAAAAATAAAAGACCGTAACCGCAGGTCTGGTCTTTTGCGGTCTTGGTCCGGTCTGGTTACGGTCTTTTTCCAGTCACGAGACCGGACTTCCAAACACTAGTCCCAGGCAACACAAAAAGTCTGACCAACAGGGCATTGATAGTGAGAATGAACCAGCTGCTTGCACTTCTTCTGACAAGTCTTGGCAGGCCCATCAGGGGCTTTCTTCTGGACAGCTAGGGACTTCTGAACAACTGGGGAAGTCGAAACTTCTCTCTGCGGGGACGGGATGACAAGCGCCGTAATGACAGCTGGATTCTGAACTCTTATGGCCCTCTACATTTCAGAAAAACAGGGTTGAAAAACAACAGGGGAATATCGGAGCAGAGGAACGTGCATACCAATCTTCACTTTGTCCTCACAGGCTCCTTGACGGTCACAGTAAGTGGCGGTGATACACAAGGACCACGTTTTCTCATGCACCTCCCTGCTGGTGACGAAAGCTCCAGATCGGACAAGTCACTCAGATCGTTGTCCCTGTTGTCATACTCATAGTCCGAATCGACATCCTCAAGGGCCTTGAAGCTCTTCTTCTTTGTTTGCTTAGTTGCCCTGGGCTGAGGTTTCAAGCTGGGTGATGGTGGTTTGATTATTCTTCCTGTTGTTTGTGACTTGGAGCCGGTAAAGAGCTGGGCTGGATCTGGTGAGAAGGGCTGTGCCATGTCGGGAACAGGTTCGATCATTTGCTTCATTGCATTACTGGCCTATGATGAAAAGAGATGTCTCAGACAATAAAAAAGATAAAATCAGAGGAGGGTATTCATGAAACATTACAAAAGTTTGCAATGACTCATCAATTGGGCTCGAGCCACATCTGGAAATCTAGCAAAGTTTTCACGTCTGGCCTGGCACTCTTGGCCTTCTCTTTGAGCATTTTTATGGGTACAATCTGGAATTGATATCCATTCGTGGGGAGATAGATGTCCACAAAACATTTGAGATGTCTTCTTCCTACTGAAAGTATCCAGACCAAGAAAAACCCTCAACATTGCCATGCCTCTTTGTTCACGTTTCCCATGAATTGTGGTGTCTGTCTGTCAATCCACCCTCCAAGTAGCCATTGAAAACTTCCTCATACAAAGAGAGGAGGAACATCGAAGACTGGCTGTCTCAGACACATTCTACTGTGATGCAAGACCATGGTGGGGCACATATGACAGTGACCCTAGTCCGGTCTCATGACTGGAAAAAGACCGTAACCAGACTGGACCAAGACTGCAAAAAACTGGACCTGTGGTTCGGTTTTTTAATTTTTGAGAACTAATGACCGCAAAAAGACCGGTCTAAATGAACCGGTAGTAACCGGTTAGGACCGGTTTTTTGTAGCCCACTAAATACCCTTCAAAACGCACCCAAGCACGTATTAATTGGTTGAAAATTGACAAAGATATAAATAAAAATGTAAAATTTTGTTAAAAATAGTAGATGTACAAGACTCTTTTTATAAAAACACCAATTCTCAACGGAATTTAAAGTTCTTGGGCTCTTTTTAAAGCTACGAAACACATTAACAAATTTACTGATTCATATTTTAAAAATATTGGCCAGAAAACCGGTCTTAAACCGGTTAAAACTGAAGAAGACCAAGACCGGTCTATAGACTGCAAAAAGACTGCAGACTGCGGTTTTTTGCGGTCCGGTTTGGTCTTTTGACGTCTGGGAAAAATGCAAACCGGTTACGGTTACGGTTAAAGCCCAGGGGCATCAAAAAACTGGACCAGACCAGACTTTTAAACACTAGCCCTTACCAAATGGACCAACTGAACTTGACAATGCTTCATACCATATGGGGCCAGCAGACTTGGCCAACATCTCAACAAATCATCCATAGTGATGGCTGGGCCGAACAGGTGGGTGCCTGCCAATAATGGGCGCTCCTATTGAAAATGATTCACAGTTGCGTGCCAATAATGGGGGCTCCTATTGAAAATAACCCACACTTTGCACCAATGCCATTATTATTTTGCACTCTACAGGCACAATTATTTTGAGCTCTGCAAGGGGCACAATTATTTGCACTTTATGGGGGTGCAATTATTTGTGCTCTAGAGGTGCAATTATTTCAAGCTCCACAAGAGGCGCAATTCTTTTGTGCTCCATGGGGTGCAATTATTCTGAGCGCTAAAGGTGGCGCAATTATCTCAAGCTCCATGAGGGGCGAAATTATTTGCATTCCATGGGGGGCACAATTATTTTGAGCTCCATAAGGGATGCAATTCTTTTGCACTCCACAGGGGGTGCAATTCTTTTGTGCTCCACAGGGCGCACAATTCTTTCAAGTGCTACTGTATGTACCTTGTGCTGTTGATAGGGTCACAAATAGTCTGTATCCAGCATTGCTTCAATGTCAGAGTGTGCTGTGCCCAATGTGAATGTGCACCAAAGGTCAGAGTGCGCCCAATGTGAATGGGCACCAAATGTCAGAGTGCGCCCAATGTAAATGTGAACCAAATGCCAGAGTGTGCCCATCAGAGTGCACCCAATGTGAATGTGCACGAAATATCAGTGCACCCAATGTGAATGTATGAAATGTTGGAATGTGAATGGGCACAAAATGTCAGTGTGCCCAATGTGAATGCATGAAAAGTGCGCCCAATGTAAATGTGAACCAACTGTCAGAGTACGCCCATCAGAGTGCACCCAACATGAATGTGCATGAAATATCAGAGTGCGCCCAATGTGAATGCATGAAATGTTGGAATGTGAATGGGCACCAAACATCAGAGTGTGCCCATCAGAGTGTACCCAATGTGAATGCATGAAAAGTGCACCCAATGTGAATGGGCACCAATTGTCAGAGTGTGCCCAATGTGAATGGGCACCAGATGTCAGAGTGCACTCAACGTGAATGCACACAAAATGTCAGTGCACCCAATGTGAATGTTCACCAAATGTGAGTGGGTGCCAAATCACTTATACCTGCACTAAGTATGCATCTGTGTCTGTTATTTTCCAGTTGTATTTCCACCCATTATCTTTTTGCATGAAATGTCAAGTGCGTCCAATGTGAATGTGCATGTGAGTGGGCACCAAGTCACTATGTTCCTATGGCATTTATTTTGCACAAAAAATATGTGCCCCCCCAATTGTAGTAAATGCCTGGCCCACTTTGGCAGGGATTTATGGCACTGATGCACTGCACCCATTGGTCTCATTGGTGAGTCCTAACCTGTGCAATTATTTTGTGCTCTACAGGTGCAATTATTTTGAGCTCCACAAGGGGCGCAAATATTTCAAGCTCCACAAGGGGTGCAATTCTTTTGTGCTCCAGGGAAGCACAATTATTTCGAGCTCTATGGGGGAGCAATTATTTTGCACTCTATGGGGGCGCAATTATTTTGTGCTCTAGAGGTGCAATTATTTCAAGCTCCATGAGAGGCATAATTCTTTTGTGCTCCATGAGGGCGCAATTATTCTGAGCTCTACAGGGGGTGCAATTATCTTGAGCTCCACGAGGGGCGAAATTATTTGCATTCTATGGGGGGTGCAATTATTTCGAGCTCCATGAGGGATGTACACTCCACAGGGGGCACAATTCTTTCAAGTGCCACTGTATGTACCTTGTGCTGTTGACAGGGTCACAAATAGCCTGTGTCCAGCATTGGGTAGTGAATACAAATGTGAGTGGGCACCAAGACACTGCCAGTGTCAGATTGTCATCCTCATTGGTGCTTCAGGTGGGCACCATAACTGTCAATACCGAGTGTGTATCTGTGCTCATTATTTTTCAATGTGTATCTGTGCCCATTATTTTGTGCACCAATTTTGCCATGTGGATTTCCACCAAACATGAGTGGGTGCCAAGTGTGTATTTGTGCCTATTATTTTTCTTCATGAAATGTCAGAGTGCACCCAATGTGAATACACATGAAATATCAGAGTGTGCCCAATGTGAATGCACACGAAATGTCAGAGTGTGCCCAATGTGAATGTGCACCAAATGAAATATGAGCCCAATGTGAAGGTGTGCCAAATGCAAGTGGGTGCCAAGTCAGTATATACCTGCAACAAGTGTGCATCTGCACTTGTTGTTTTTCAGTATGTATTTGGAGTGCGCCCAATGGGAATGTGCACCAAATGTCAGAGTGCGCCCATCAGAGTGCACTCAATGTGTTCTATTCTGACTTTCTAAGGTGTCCAGACATGGGTAGGTGATGATACCTCTCATGCTCTCTCCTATTTCGCATTTTTCACTGCCATCCCATTCTCCTCCCATTTCCAAAACATTTTATGGTCCTATCCTGACTTTCTAAGGTGTCCAGACATGGGTAGGTGATGATACTCCCCATGCTCTCTCATATTTCGCATTTTTTACTGCCTTCCCATTCTCCCCCACCCTCCAGGTCACTCCCAAATCACATTGGTGCCTCCCAAATGCCCCATATTGCACTCTCTTGGATGGTACAGGATATAGGCTGGGCTCTGGGCTCCAGAAGTACACTCCCTGGATTAATCTACAGGAATTGAAGATGGAATTCCTGGAATGGTGGATGGATTTCATGAATTTTCAGGATGGATTCCATAGATTTGCAAGATGGCTCTCAGCCAGTAACCTACAGCTACTTTTATCCAATATATAGTTATCTTTCTCTGTAACTTTTGGCTGAACCTTAAGAAACAAAGAAGAGCACTGCAAAGCTCTGGACAATAATCAACACAACATGCTTGACAGAAAAATCACACTTGTGAGAGTGTGACAGCCTAGGCAAAACAGCTGAGTATTGAATTTGGTTGGCCACAGACAACCATTGCTCTTAAAAATGGTATCAGTAGATGCTGAATTACATCTAAATTATGATGACTTGGTGCCCACTCACATGCACATTCACATTGGGCGCACTTGACATTTCATGCAAAAGAATAATGGGTGGAAATACACACTGAAAAATAATAGGTGCAGATGCATACTTAGTGCACACATTTGATGTGCATTCACATTGGGCGCACTCTGACATTGAAACAATGCTGGACACAGACTATTTGTGACCCTATCAAAGCACAAGGTACATACAGTGGCACTTGAAAGAATTGTGCCCTCTGTGGAGTGCAAAAGAATTGTGCCTCCTGTGGAGTGCAAAAGAATTGCATCCCTTATGGAGCTCAAAATAATTGTCCCCCCCATGGAATACAGATAATTTCGCCCCTTGTGGAGCTCGAGATAATTGCACCCCCTGTAGAGCTCAGAATAATTGCGCCCCCATAGAGCGGAAGTAATTGCGCCCTGGAGCACAAATAATTGCACCCTGGAACGCAAAAGAATTGCACCCACCATGGAGCACAAAAGAATTGTGTCTCTCATGGAGCTTGAAATAATTGCACCTCTAGAGTGCGAGATAATTGCGCCCCCATAGAGCGCAAGTAATTGCGCCCTGGAGCACAAATAATTGCACCTCTAGAGCACAAAATAATTGTGCCCCCCATGGAGCGTAAAAGAATTGTGCCTCTTATGGAGCGCAAAATAATTGCACAGGTTGGAACTTGCCAATGAGACCAATGGGCGCAGTGCATGGGTGCCATAAACCTCTGCCAAAGTGGGCTGACCCATTGTATGAGGGGCTTTTTTTCATGCCGCCCATCTATGGCGAAAAATTCACCTGTTGTTGCCTGCAGGCACAACAACAAGGCTGCTGTCAACACATACAACAGGTTAATAATATATCTATTTAACTTTCTCCTGCATGGTCCCCCACAGTAGTACTAATGAGGCAGCACTCTGGTTAACTGCCTGAAAGAACGATGGGCGCAACAATGGAATCTGTGCAATTGGGTGCAACCCATGGGCACCAGAGGCAAAGTGGGCCGATCTGTCCTCTATGGGGCTCTGTTCATGTGGCCCACCCATGTTGCATGGCCTATTTTAGAGTCTCGGCCCAGTCATTCCCAAGGCCGAATTCTTGACAGCTTGGCCAAGTCCGCTGGCCCGCTGTTGATGGGCGCCTGTCACACACTGCTGGCCCATCAGTGATGGACCCATTTGACTGCCCTAACTGGGTGGGGCCTACATACGTGACAGCGTATGTGGACATGGGAGTGGGAGCAGGAGGGAGGGGGGAAGATTGGGAAGAGGAAGAAGAGATGGTGTGGGGAAGAGGAGGAAATTATGACAGAGGAAGAGGTTGAGCTGACAAGGGTGAGCCTAGGATGGGTGGTGCTGGATAACTTTGGCAGGTGCTTCTTCTCCCTGTGTGCTTGGTTGTGCAGAATGAAGCAAAGGGGTGAGTTTGAATGGCTTGAAGTAGGTGGAGAGCCGTCACTGATGGCCTTGTCAAATATTGAACTGTGGAAGGCAAGAGCGGACTCGTCGTCTGATGTCCAGGGCGAAGACACAGTTCTTGATGCCCCCAAAGGAATGTGATTTCTTCTTGAAATCAGCTGATTTATCCATACCTGTGATCTGGTGTAAAGTGAGTATAGAGGCAGGCTGCGAAATCAGGAGCACAACTCTCCAGATGGAAAAGAATGCGAAAGTGGGACGCAAAGGTAGGTGTGTTTCGCAACGACAAGCAGCTTGATCCTTCCTTACAAGCACATAAGCCAAGACATCCATACCCCATAAACACTCCACGCATTATCCCTCTCCTCCGCCGTCCAAGGTGATAGTGCTGTATGGCATATCACCAGCTTCCTCCTCTTCAAAGAACTGGGAGGGTGTTGTATGGGTGCCAGGGGTCATTCAGGGTGTATCTGTTTCGCCTAGTGTTTGGAAGTCCGGTCTCATGACTGGAAAAAGACCATAACCAGACCGGACCTAGACCGCAAAAGACCGGACCTGTGGTTACGGTCTTTTATTTTTGAGATGTAAAGACCGCAAAAAAACCGGTTAACGTGAACCGGTCTTAACCGGTTTGGACCGGTCTTTTGTAGCCCCTTAAATACCCTTTAAAACGCACCCAAGAACGTATTATTTGGTAAAAAAACGAGAGAGATATGAATTAAAATGTAAATTACTTTTGGGAATAATAGATGTACCAGACTTATTTTATAAAAGTACCAATTCCTAACGGAATTTGACGTTCTTGGGCTCGTTTTGAAGCTAATAGAGATGTTAATAAATTTACCGATTCATAATTTTAAAATATTAGCCTAAAGACCGGTCATAAACTGGTTAAAACCGATGCAGACCGAAACCAGTCTATAGACCGCAAAAAGACCGCAGACTGCGGTTTTTTGCGGTCCGGTCTGGTCTTTTGACTTCTGGGGAAAAGGCAGACCAGTTACGGTTACGGTTAATGCCCCTGGGCATCAAAAAACCGGACCGAACCGGACTTTCAAACACTAGTTTCGCCACTGCAGAGAAGGTTTTGGGTGAGAGCATTGGAAAAAGCTGGGTTGCAGTCATCTGTCATTGACATAATGAAGTCAAGGGGATTCAGTTGCAAGTCTTGTCTTTATGCTTGCTGTTGTGGTAGCATCATCCCAAAGAGAGAGAGATGGTTCAAGAGATAGAGGCACTGCAGTAAAAAACGGTGTTGTACTTTGATAAGGTAAATACCTATGTTGCTCATCCTGCAAGAACCAACCGACCTGTTAGCTACTGCCGTTATAGCTTATAGGAATGAAGGTAGACTTACTGGGAAAGATCAACAATTGAGCCAAGAAACCTCGACCTCACGTCAATGGATGTTGAAAAGCAACGACACTTATATATACCCGTGACATCATCATCATCTTTGCCAACAAACCTCAAAGACCTCGACGAGGCTCAGCCTCCCAGCAGAGCTCGTTGTCAAAACCTCAGCCCAATCAGGAGTGCAGATGCAGTGAAATCAAGTGAAAGAGTGGCTCAAGCTTTTGCAAGGCGTATGAGGTGAGCTGCTACATGAAAGGCAGTTGAAAGGTAGGGTAGCAGAAAGTGTACACCTTTCCATGGGCTGTGGCTGTTAGTGTTGCCGCGGCTCGGCTAGCCGCAAGCCGGCTCGCTGAACCGGCGGCTTTTGCCGGTTCCGGTTTGTGGATCACTCGAAAGCTGATCAAGTCCGGTTCGGCTCGGCTTAGTTGGTGGCTTTGAACCGGTTATAGCCGGTAAATGATTGCCGCAATTGATGACTCACGCGTTAAGTAGAATGAGGTTAAATTTGTAATAGAATTTGAGACAAATGCATTTTGTGATAAGTAAAATATATTGAACAAGCTATCAATCCTCGTCATCCTGTCCAATAACGTGAATTACCTCATCAATATCTATACCATCCTCCGTAATTTCTGAAGTTAGCTTCCCTAACAAATCCACTGAATCTTCGTTGTCATCTGCGTAGTACTCGAGTTCGTCTTCTGTGACAGCCCATCCCTCCGTAAAGTTTAGCCGTTGCTGCTTGAGCGAAAACTTTAACATTTGAAGCGCCTCCATTAGAACAGGGTGGATTCGATTTCGCCGCTTTGTATCAGTTTCGGCACTGGATGAAAAAACGCGCTCGGAAGGAACCGAGGATGCTTGAATGGGCAAATAATCTAATGCCATTGCGTACAATGTTGGATGAGTTTTATCACTTATCTACAAAAAAATCAGTGGGGCAAATTAGAAAATAGTGAGAGACTATACTTACCGCCCAAAACCCTACAATATCTGTGCCACGCGGTGAGAGCGGCCCATTTTCGTACAACTCAAATTGTTCTTCAACACCTTGGACCTGCTGCGAAGAAGCACCTGTAACGTCCATCATATCTTCGAGCCCGTATTGTCCAGCTAAATCATGCCAGCTTCGCCTCTCTTGCTGCGAGGCTGCTGTACCAGGTGTAGGTTGTTGAACTTGTCCATGAAGACGGTCATGGTATTTTCGCATCTGGAACAAGTATATTAGGTTACTGTCACCGTAACAAACTGAGACACTTACGGTATTTTTTATAATTACGGTGGCCCTGGCAACGTAATTAGGCTCCCAGTGTCGTCGAATCCATGACAATCGTATTGAGGGATTGAGAACTGATGATGTCAAGTTATTGAATGATCTATGAATTTGAACCTTAACTCACACATCGCAATAACGTAGGCAGGCGAATCATCCATTTTCTTGTAGTAAGTTGTCGCCCAGTCGATACCGATATCTGTCCATCGGGCCAAGCGGGGGTGTGCTGTCCCAAGTTGCTCCCATGCCGTCATGAACATTTTGAACGCAGGAATTGTGCCTGATAAAACAGGAGTGCGCTCTTTCGACATGATTTTCTGCACTTGATGAGGTACCTAAGAAAAAGATTTAGCCTCAAACAGGTATCAATATTAGAGACGTACACCCAGTACGATCTCAAAATCCTGGAGTACAGTCCATTCCATATCAGTAAGTCTAAGTTTCGCAAGCTCTCTATTGACGGGCAAAGAAAGAAAGTACTCGACGGCCTATTTTTATAAGTATACACTGATAGAATGATGAAGTTCAAACATACTGGGCGTAGTTTACGAAACCGATTGATCATGAAATAAAGAGAGTCCCACCGAACCTTCATATCACGTATAAGTTGTGCCTGCTTGACCTGTATAGTCATGGTCGGATCCCCGGTTGACTTGAACCACCCTTTCTTGTTTCCATCCTCTATTACTTCTGCCAGGTGGTCACGTCGTTGACCTGAGGCGCGTACTGCTCGTACAGTACTTCAGCACAATGCAATTGGGTCGCGAGCAACCGCTTCTTCGTAGCTCTGATTATCGGGATCGCTTGGAGGGCCTGATGCGGATGCGACAAATCCCCCTGCATCATCTACCAGGCTGATATCAGTAAATGCATCAATGACGTGATTCGAACATATGTTGGTAACGTGTGGGAAGCATCTTATATGATTCTCCTTGTGATTAAATTCAACGTCGCGAGGGCGTAGAAGTAACTCGAGTTCTCTGAGGAAAGCATCGTTGAGCGAGCAGTTATCGAGAGTCCAATGGCCTCCCTGTGCACGTAAGCATAAAGTAGAAAAGGGAAAGAAAATGAAACTTAGACGTGCTTTGACTGTAATCCCAACTCGGTCCAAGAGATGGAGGACAATTCTTGCTAGCCTCTTCCCGTTGTGGCTTCCTCGAAGACGGTGAAATGCGATGAGTGTAGAACGCAGCTGAAGACCCTTGGTAGACTTGTCTCTATGTATCCAATGTGCGGTAATGGCCAGGTATGGGTACCGAGCTTTTGTTGACCAAATATCTGCCGTGTAGGAAATTCGTCCTGGCGCATCCTAGAGTGAACAGTGAATACAAGGAAACAAAGCGGTCAATTGAAACAACATACCGCTAATTCCTGTTTTAGGACCTTGAAATACGCATGCCATGCCTTGATAATGGATTCGCGCATCTTCGTTCGGCAGGGAATGTCTTTGTCCTCGAGGTCCTCACATAAAAGCAAGAGGAGCTGTCGAAATTCTGGGCATTCAACAACATTTATAGACTGCGAAGAAGGTTAGACTAATACCAAACATTAAAAGTGCTTGACCAACCTGATCGTCTGCAACGATGAAATTCAGAAGATGCTGTATCAATGCCTCTTGGGGAAATGGTGGACGTTGTGTTCCATGGGGCTAGGGACTGTCACGGATAGCTAAAGCCCGGGTGAACCCGAAATCCACCCATATTTGGACTCAACTGATGGATTTGGGTAAGTACCCGGACTATCCGCAGGTATCCGTGGGTAAATTAGATATTTTTAGACCTTCTTGAGATATTTTGAGCATACGTGCCCGGAATAGATAAGAGTGTTATTTGTACCCCCAACTCCCTTCCACCACGACAGAATGCTATCACAACAACTTCCTGGCCCCTGCTGCTTGTGGAAGGGGTCCAAATTGTGACCTGGGCCTTGTTCCCAGCTGTCACCCAAGCTTGTCACCAGAAATCTTTGAAATCCTGTTAATGAATTCAATTTTTAGTGAAAGCAATCACAATATGCCCCAATAAAAAAACAGGAGAACATTCAAATTTACCTTGATGAACCCAGAGGTATTGAAAGAACAATTTTGGTGACACAATGTGTTACAAAAACCTATTTAAGAGGAAAAGAAATCATTGTCCATCTTTTTTCAATCATTTGTGTAACTTTATTGAAGCTGGGTAGAAGGGGAATTTAATCCAGAATCTAAGAGCCATTTCTGCTCTGAATGTTTGAAAGTTGATATTGTGCTGGGTGAAATTGATCTGATTGTGACCAGTGGAGAATGCCCACTCTGCATCCACAGAAGTAGCTGCATCAATCATTGAAAGTAA